ACGCGCAGTCTGTCCAGAGGGCGCGAGCGCAGACCGCCCTGGTGATTCAGATAGGCCACCACCGCTGTGTTGTTCTCCTCGGAACGAACCAGGACGTGGTGGCCTTGGAGATCGGACAGAAAACTCCTTAGAGCCTGGAACACCGCCAACATCTCGAGACAGTTGATATGCCACTCGGATCGATGCACCTGCCAGGATCCCCTTGCAAAGCGGCCGTCCATGACCGCGCCCCAGCCCGTGAGGGAGGCGTCTGTCGAAAGAACCAGCCGGCGACAAGACCCTCCCAGCATGGGCCCCTGGGACAGGAACCAAGTTTCCTTCCAAACTGATAGGGAACGAAGACACTTGTGCGTAACCCAAACCAGACGGAGAGGATTCCCCTCGGGGAAAAACCCTTGTTCCTTAGCCACCACTGCAGGGGTCTCATGTGCAGCAGTCCAGATGGTATTACGCTGGACGCAGCCGCCAGGAGACCAACACTCGTTGAAAGTGTTTCATAGTGATGGCGTGGCCTAACTTCACCCCTTTCACGGCAGCCAATATGGTGTCGACACGTGCCGGAGACAATTGTGCCCGCATCGTTGTCGAATCCCATGCAACCCCTAGGAACGTAGCCCGTAGGGTGGGCGCCAGCACGCTCTTCTTTGCGTTGAGCCTCAGCCCTAAACGCCGCAGACGAGCCAGAACGACATCTCGATGCCGAACCGCCAACTCTCGAGACTGGGCTAGGATGAGCCAGTCGTCGATGAAGTTGAAATCCGGATGCCCCGGAGCCTCAGCGGGGCCAGTGCTGCATCCATACACTTGGTGAATGTGCGAGGGGAAGTGCCAGGCCGAATGGAAGAACCCGATACTGGTAAGCCACACCCCCGAAGGCAAACCTCAGGAACTTCCTGTGAGAAGGACGGATGGAGACCTGGAAATAGGCGTCCTTTAGTCTATCGTGACGAACCAATCCTCAGATTGGATGTGCATCACGGTGGCGGGGATGATGAGCATCTTTAACCTGAATCTCCTCAGAGACCGGTTAGAACCCGCAGATCCAAAATAGGGCACGCAGCCCTCCGTCCTTCTTGGGGACTATGAAGTACCGGCTGTAGAACCGGCGTCTCTGTCTGGGGGGGAGACATGTTCCACGGCCCCTTTCCTCAGCAGAGTACAAACTTCCTGTCCCAACACCGGACCTTGCTCCGGGCGGACCACAGTCCAAACCACCCCCTCTCTTCTGTTGAATTTGGAGGGCGGGTTTTGAACTGTAGTCGATACCCATCTATGGCAGTGCGCAGGACCCGCGGAGAAATGTTCGTCAGGCTCCGCCAAGCGTCTGCAAAGTCTGCCAACGGAACCAGCCCCTCGGGGCTGGTGGTCGGTGTCTCGTGTGATCTTCTGGTGGACCCCGAAGCCCCAGAACGGCAGGGGGGAGCCGCCGAAGATCCACGGTGAGTGAGTCGGGATGCCGTCCGCCTGCAGACCCTCGGGGCAGGCAGTACGGCGCGGACTCGATGGTGGCAGGTGCGTCCTGAACGTGTAAACGGCGGGATAACATCACCTGTTGCCACGGTGGAGGGGACCTCGGTCGGCCTCCGGGGGGGGTGGGGGGGTGCGGGAGGGGAGAAAGACTCCCCTACCCCGGTCTTCCCTGAGCTCCGTCGGGACTGGATGACGGTCCTCAGATCGCGTCTCTCAGACGGCTGAGGGTGAGAGCGCCGTCTCGCTGCCCCAGCTCCTCAGGGGGGCCCCCGAGAAGCGACACTCTGCTTCCTCTCCTCTCCGTAGGAGCTCGTAGAGGGAAGGGACCTACGCCTGGCAGCCTCAGCTGCCTTGGGTCCAGACCGGCGAGGGAGGTACTGGCGGAACGCTTCGCACTGCGTCTAACGCTTCGTGGTTCTGCGAAGCTCCGCCAGATCTTCCTCGGAGGGACCCCCCCTCTGAACCATCTCCTGTAGCAGGTTGGCTTGGTAGGCTTGAAGCACCGTGGTGTGCAAGCTCGCACCTGCCTGGCCCGCTGCCATGTACGCCTTCCCCACGAGCGTGGATGTGGTGCGACATGGTTTGGATGGTAACGCCGGCTTCTCCAGGGAGGACGCAAGTCGAGGGGAGAGATAGCTCGCAAGCTCATCCTCCACCCGAGGCATCCTCCCATAACCACGGTCCCTAACCCCCATCACATTACTGTAGTTCAGTGATCGGGGTGTGGAAAGCCATGTAGAGAAGGGTCTGCCCCATGATTACTCAGTTCATCATGTACTTTCTTTTCAGGAAAGAATGGCTGAGACCGGCGTGGAGGTGGCGTGTGGTGCTTAAGAAACCTTTCATCAAGCTACCACTAGCCTGTGGTGTCTGCTCCTCTTTTCTCTTTAATTTTTTTTTTTTTTCGGCCAGTTGATGTTGAGCTTAGCCACGGCTCTAGTCACCACCTCCAGCAGCACGTCATAGTCGGGCGCGGCCAGATGACGCCGCCCCGACACCCGGAAGTCATCGTCCACTGCGCTGAGCACGTCCGCCTCCTCGGAGTCGGATTGCTGCAGCGTCTCCGGATCCAAACCGCGAGCGGGAGAAGCCGAGAACGGGCTCCCGAACGAGGAAAGGAAGCGTCGGAGCCAGCGGATGAAGGTCGGGAAAAAGTCTCAGCCGTCCCGAAATCCTCCGACAGATCACGCTGTGATCACCCATGAGTGAAGCCGCCGGGCCGCCCCCAGCGGCCGCAGGGCCCGCGCCACGGGGAAAACACATCCGGCCATCCTCGGAAAGAGAGCCATGCTGTACCTCAATACCCGCACGGAAAGGGCTTCGCAACGGGCGCAGGCAGCCCCCTCGAGAGCTGCCCGGGCGTGCTCCATCCCCAAACATGAGACACACATCTCATGAGAATCTCCATCCGTGATGTACCAAGGGCAAGAAAAAACACACCTTCTGTACATCTGGTTGCCGGACATGCTGGTAGACTTCTTCTTCAGGTAAGACACACTGCTTGTAGGACTGGAGCTTTCTTCAAACAACATACAGAGCGCCTGCTGAATAGAAAAAAGCTAATGATGAGTGTGTACAGGTGTGCTTTATACTCCTCCGGTTATTCCGTCACACCTTACCGTTCTAGCAACAGGCCAATAGGATTGGAGTGATTTCATTCACGTTCAGACCTGCTTCGCCTAGAGGCGTTCCCATAGTGTCGTAACCGACGCAGTTCGAGTTCCCTCGAAGGGGAACTTTAATGTTTTCCTCACAGTGGGGGAGGGGACTAAGGTTTCTGTGAGATCACTAATAGTTCACAACATATGGGAATGAGAACACACATAACAACACTTGCAAAGCAACCTTCTAAAGCATTTCTCTTGGACCTCCAAGCAAAGATTTTTAACGAGGTTTTGTCACAGGTCTTTGAGGACCCTGACTGTGAAGCATCCTCTTTTGATGAGGATGAGACCCTTAGTGTTGACCCTACTGTAGTTTTTCAACCACCAGCACGTTTCTTCCAAAAATGAACAAACTTAGAAAGGAGGCATGTGTATGGGTAAGGAGACCTACTTGTATGCCTACATTCGGTTGCTCATTTTAGCAAGAGTGAACAAGTCAAAATGCAAAGCAAGGTGCACTCACACTCTCTGGTGGGCTGCAGGAAAAATAATATGCAGTTCATATTCTGTGAAACTCATTTTCCTGAGGTCAAAATGACCCCAAAGATAAAAGATGTTAGTAAATCTGAAGATAACAGGAGGTGACATTTACCATTAAAATTGTGTCCTTACTGAAGATGTCATTACCGCATCATTGCTTTATTTGAATTATTATTATGATTTTATTAGCATAAACACTTCAAAATCACTTAAGTAGAGATGATTAACACATTAGAATTGCAGTAATGTAATAATTACAATTTTTTCTTTGAATTTAAAGAAATAAATGTTGCGGGAAGGACATTTTGTAAGAAAAATTGATGAAAAACATGTTCCAGATTAAAATCTTAATGACACAATGCATTTTTGTGTACTTGTTTATATGTATTATGGACTCTTAAAGTTTAAATCAAAATTCATAGAGGTTGATTGTTTTTTAATTTGGGAGGTCAAAAGTGACCATAGTTGCAGAAACACCCTTATATGGTTGTAAATAACTATTATTATTATAGGGATTAATAAAGTTATATTTTCTCTTAACAGCAAAATCTTTCGTTGTTTATATAATTTATAATGCTGGCCTTTTGCTCTCTTTTTTCACTTCCGGGAGCTCCGTTGGAATTTTCCCGCATGTTAATTCTGAGCAATTGAAGAGCAGTTTAGGAAACACATTTAAAGACACATCCGGCCAATGAGTGATGTGAGTGTTGTCATGTGACTTGTGTTACTGCATTTTGTTTTGTTTCACCAACTCATCAACTGATTTGGACCAGAGCAAATAGCGTGGTGTGAAAAGGAACCGAGACAGCTGAAAAATGCTACACTGTATAATGTTTTTGCCCTTGGTCCGGACCAAATGAACTGAACTACATATGTAAAAGCATCCTATAACAGAGCTAAAAGGAGAGTGAATATTGCACTTACATTCACCATGTGGACCAAATGAATGCTGAATGCTCTGTCGGCTGGATGTGCACTGATACTGGATACATAGTGAGCAGGATATTTCACAGTGGGAAAATAACCCTGTGAGTGCTCTTTGGTGAGCACAGTGTATAATTGTGACACAGTCTCTAAATGACCTCAGACCTAGTTTGGCATTTCTGGACAGCTATTTCTTGTTACTTATCTGCCAACATATACACCTGATCCACTGAAATATCTGCAAGAACCTGATATTGGCTGATCCGTTTATCTGCCTGCCTAATTTATCTGTCCAGCTAGGGTCTTTCTCACCTCCTGAAATCTACTGCTTTGTTAGACAAAGTAAGAAACTATTTAGGACTAATGTTCCCTCTGATTTGGTAGTTGGTAGGTAGAAGGATGGTGCAGAGAGAGGAATGAAGAGTTGGCTTCCTACGTATGTGCGTGAGCGAGTGCACCTACAGGGCTGTTGAGGATCATGAGGCAGTGGTCGAAGTGGTGATGCTCCATGGTGGAGTGGCAGTAGAGCTGGGCCAGTGGATGGTCGCTCCTGGAAACGCACCCACACACACACACACACACACACACACACACACACACACACACAAAGTAAGAAACAGAGTGGATACAGTGTGCTCCCACACAATCACACCCATACTTGGATATGACTCATGCTCTCCTGCTGTACCTCTGTATGTAGGAGTTGTTGACTCCTCTGTGGTCCAGGTCATGGCTGAGAGTTGCAATCATCAGAGCCAAGACCTCCACATCACTCAGGTTATTCTGTCAGGAGATGGACGAGCGGAGCAAGTGAGAGGAGAGGATGGGGGTGAAAAGCACACCAGTTACAACCCACACAGCTGGTTAACTGATGACAATCTGTTGCCACAGTCAGACCAAACAAAAGCCTCACAGTTAGCTCATTGTAAGTCACATTGTTGGCAGTGTGGGCGCTCAGCACGCAGCCTGGAGTTCATAGCAAGGCCCGTTTCTGCATATAACACAACAGCTTTTACACCAGAGCTGAAGTCAGGGCTCCATATTGATATTTCCAGACTGCAGCTGCTGATAATAGAAATGACTATGTTTGGGTCACAGAAAGCATTTAGTGTATTCCAAATTTTATTCTTGGGGTTTTAGCAGAACCTCTGAAACATTTTAACCATCCTTATAGTAGCCCATTAGCAGCACACCACATACATTTAACTGCAACAACACAGCTTCAAGTCATTTCACTTCACCATGAAAGACACTGTCAGATGGCTTTACTGATGCATTCTTTTTTTTGTTCAGTTATGCTATTGTTGCATGTACAGGCGCATCTCCAAAAATTTTAATCTTGTGGAAAAGTTCATTTGAAGCTCACTGAAACAAAGTGGGAGATTAAAGACTCAGGAAACTGAGATTTAATTAAGGAGTTAATTAGCTGATCAGAGCTCTTCTCAGGTCGACATTTCTGTGGGAGAAATTCTTTATTCTTTATTCCTATAATATTTTGAGCTACTGGATTTTTGATTTCATAAGTCGTAACAAAAAAAAAAGGCTTGATGTATTTCACTTATCACTTAGCTGAAAGTTCAAAAGCTAAAGCTAAAGTTTCACTTTCTGAATTAAATAATTGAAAAATATGAACCTTTCCACCATTCATTTTTTGAGATGTACCTGTAAGCAGGAATTGTGGTGCATTCAGGGAAGAAATTTAGGACCTGTGAGATGGCTGCTGAACACCAACCTTTTGAAAGCAAAAGATGACTAAGTACTCTTTTGTTTTCTTGTTTGTTTTTTGATTCTCCAGCATGATTAATTCAATGCTTTTCAATAGCAAACTATTTCAATTTTGGATGGTCGGCGTGTGCTTGGACGCACAATCAATGAGGGACTTGAAAGTTCACCATTCTCTACAGTGTCGTGAAATAACTGCCTGGCTGCCTGGAAGGTAGGAAACCAATGATATGCTTTGAAAATGACTTGCAGGAAAGTTAGACATTTATTAAAATAATGAACTTAATAAGTTTGTTTTAAAGCAAGGATAATAGTAAAACACATTGCCTGCCTGTAAGGAATTTAATCAGTGACTCGGTGGATGTTCCACTGACTCAGTAAAAGGCTATCTAACAAATCAGCTCTTCCTCACCAGTGACCGGCTGCACTGACCTGTAAGCGTCCTGACTTGAGGAGGGCGAACATGCTCTGGGCGGTGTTGAAAGCATGCCTCCAGTTGTGATAAGCCACATTCTTCCTGTAGTTCTTCTTCACGCTCAGGATCCACTGGCATAAACTCTGCAGAAGAGAGAAAGAGCACGACATTTGATAACGACTTTTCCATATGCACCAAGTAAGCACAATATTGAATGCAGCAGCTGTTTTCCAAAATTGTTTTCCATCACTAATTATTTTCTGCTTTGTGCTTGACTGTCATGAATTTGCCCTTCCTGAAAGTGGAAACTCTGCGTCCTGCCAGCAAATCAATGCTCTGTGTTTTGTTAGTTTCTCCTGATGGGCAGGCCAGTGCCTTGCATGGCAACTCAACCTCCATCCTGTGTGTGTGTGTTGACGATTATTTTCATTATCGATTAATCTATACATTTTTTTCTCGATTAATCGATTAGTTGTTTGGTCAAAAAAATGGTGAAAAAAAGCCCAAGATGACATCCTCAGGTGTTTTCCAAAGATATTCTCTTTACTGTCATAGAGGAGTGACGAAATTAGAAAATATTCACATTTAAGAAACTGGAATCAATAAATTTTTCTCACATTGATGAATCGATTATCAAAATAGTTGGCAATTAATTTAATTGTTGACAACTAATTGATTATTTGATTCATCGTTGCAGCTCTGGCACACAGTGAACTGAACTAAACTCTCTCCAGGGGTCATTGCACCTAGATTATAAGAAAGGACAACATTAAATATGTTAGAATAGTAATTGAATGATAACAAGTTGCACAGAGCTGACACGCTGAACACCCCCAGGCTCCGATGCTCTGGGGTGGTCAGTGTGTCAGCTCCCGGTGTGAGCGTCAATCTGACAGTCCGTGCTGCTGGAGGGCTCCGATCTCCTCCAATCAAAGGCTGTCTTTATGAGGCCTCTCTCTGCGGGCACTCCGGAGGTCAGCCACCAACATACAAGGACCTCTTCACGTGGAGAGCGTGCCGAGGACGAGAGCCAAACCTGCCAGCGACCAGCGCTGCTGGCAGCCGGGGGGGCGGACGTGGAGCGGTGGGTCTGATAGAGTGTGGATGGTTTCTTTGGAAGGGAAGTGTTTTAGGTGCAGTGTGTGTGTGTGTGTGTGTGTGGTCTCTGAGTTAAGGATGCAGGCAAATACACAAATATTAACTCACTTGTAAATGCACTCACTCATCATCCAGCACACACACACACACACACACACACGCTCATGTTCTAATGGTCTAATGCTTCTGACAATGAGAAGCAGATTGTTTTCTGCAATTAATAACACAGGAAGCTGCTCTTGTCTTTTTCCATGACACGCACTGCAAACAACAAAATGTCATGTCAGGATAATGTAGAGGTGTTCTAACTTTAATGATTTCTGTGTTGCCATGATACGCTGGATAATAATAAAGTCTTGGGTATTTTGTTGTAATGTAATGCAGGCTGTAATACACACTGTGTTATTTCCATACACTGGGTATGTGTGTATGGAAATAATACAGTGCTCGTGTAGTAATGTGTAACATTTGCCTAATTTCCTTTGTGATTTGGCCTTCAGTGTATGTAGTTACTTTAGTTTTTGAAGACATAAGGAGTTCAGGGGCCTGTACCACACAAAGCCAGCTATCTTTGGACTTAACTCTGGGTTTACGATATCACAAAGCTGGCTCGCTTTTATCACCATGGTAACCTACGCTGCACTGCTAACCTGGTTGCAAGGTTATTTTCAGAGGATTAGATCAAAACCTGCCAACAGCCCGACCTACAGGATCGTGGCAGGGACAAAAGGGCTGACTTTACATTAAGGCAACAAGTAACAGAGAGCAATGAATATTTCACAGATTGGGAGAATCCTTCAGCTCCATTCTAACAAACGGAGGGAGAGTTTGTCGCATTAAATCCACACTGAGGATTAAAACTGCATTTTAATTGTGCAAAGATTCCTTAATTCCCAAAGGGACTTCTGACAGGGTTGATGTTTTTACATCTTATTCCATCACTGAAGCTCAGAATAACATGTAAATATTCTGTACTTGTACAGCATCTTTCTAGTCTTCCAACCACTCAAAGGACTTTACACTGCATGTCACATTCACCCATTCACTGACTGATTGCAGAGGCTGCCATGCAAGGTGCCAACTGCTCATCAAAAACAGAAACTAACACATTAACACACACACACAGCTCATGAGCAACAGTCGCCCCAACATGAGGAGACTTTATGATAACTGGAAATAAAGACTGAACCATCTGTTGTCTTTTTATATGAAAAATAATCCTTGCAGTCAGTTAGCTCCCGTGATTATAAATGCAACCTTTTTGTCAGATAGATCTTATCAGGCAGTAGCTTTGTTTCTTCTCCTCTGATCTCTGCTTTGGCAGCAACAGTCCGACATTTCTTTTATCTTTTTGTATATGCATCAAATACTCATCATAGTTTATCAGCATCGGACAGAAAAGGCAAAAAAACCTCACTCTGTACTAAAGCCACAGTATATAGTAATTCCCATAATTCGTGGTGGGGCTGGACATGTCGCCAGTTCATCACAGGGCAAGACTTACTTTGATATCTGGAAATTATTTCAAGTGTTTTTGCAGCTTCTTATTCCACTCGTGATTATATTATTATTATTATATTATATTCTGTGAAGTATTACTGTGCTCAGTAAAGTTCATGGCAGTTCAGTTTTAGTATTTCTTGGGTTAACGTGTAATTTGGCCAGGATGCAAGGCCATGCAGTGACCCAAAAACATCAGATACTTTCTCTTGGGAAAATCCACAGCAAATGCCATGCAATCTGTCCGTTATATGTCAAGATATCTTTGCCGTGGACCAAAATGTCAAGTGAACAGAGACGAGCTAAAGATGCATTTTAATGGAAAATTCTGAAGCAAAATCTACTTTAATGGCATCCCAGGTCAGCTCTTACCGTGTACTTCATCTGGAAGTTCTGGACCAGGTTGAGGTCCACAAACATGCGGATAGTAGCCAGCGTGGTTTCAGTGTCTGACAAGTCAAAGTCACTGAAGCTGAAGTCCAGAAGACGCAACGACTGGGCTGACGGCACTGTAGCTACCTTCAAACACACACACACACACACACACACACACACACACACAGAAACAATAAAATCAATCAAATTCAGAGAGCCTGTGGATTAAATGACACACTCGTAAATATAAAAGTGTTTTATTGCATTATTTAGTTGGACTAATCACTGGTAATCATTTTCCAGATCCAAGAATGACTTTAATAACCACTCATCATTAAACACAGATTCATCTGAAATCTTATTTAATTTTATATGACCAAAGTGACTGAAAGTGCTACTACAGTAGCAGCTTTAAATACACAACTACGAGGGGTTTCCATCCTATGATGTGTCATACATACTGTATGTAGCGTTCTCTTGGGTAGAACATACCCTGAAAAATCAAGCCTGTGTCCTAGATACCAAGCGACACATCCTCTCTCTAGCACCCAGGGGAGGCCACTTAATCAGGTTATGCTGTTAGTTCTGCCACTTCACCACAAGGAGAGGAGAACTGAACAGGACCTTTCGAGACAGTCATGTGGTGCCATAGCTAATGTTGTGGCTGGCGTGAAAGTTGGGCTGCACTGATTGGTTCACATTTGGAAAGCTGCCTTGGAGTACTGTCAGAAAACCAGTGAGATATTTACAAATGAGCTAATTAACAAAATCAAAAGACAGTCTGGCTGAAGGGAGAACCTTTAATATTATGTTTCATTCACATGCAAAGCCTGAGGGCCAATTATATGAGAGAAGTGCAACACAAAATCAGTGGTTTCCTCATATTACTGCTTGTAGTCTGATAATGTACTCTAATGGCAATTTTCACTTAGTGCATGTTGGTTACCAATCTGATCTATTACCATGCATCTAAGATTCTAAGATGTCTCAGCAAGTGAACGGGTGACTACAACGTCACCGTGACTGACAGAAGTGATCCGGAATTAAAATCCAAGTTGGAACAAACAGTGGTTTCCCTTGAAGTTCCAAGTAGCCAAAAACCTTTAAATTGGTTTGTTTCACAATAAAAGCCTTCTAAAGAAAGGACAGGATTCTGTCCACTGAAACGCTAGAAGGCTATTGAATTGAATAGGATACAAGAGGTGTTGAGTTCGTATTAACAGCATAATCAATAAGTAAGTAAATGAGGGTAAGCAGCAGCAGATCAGAAAACAAAGAGGCCCTACGCAAATATCTCCAGTTGAGGTAATTAAAGGCCCCGGCCACTATTTGAGAATTTCTGGTATCCAGTTTTTTGAGTCAGTAAATTACCACATTGCCTGTGAAAGTACGTGAACTAAAACACTTGTTTTTGCCACTGACAGGCTGAAGGCTATATGTGTCTGACAACATTATAGAAAGGATCCCTATAGAGATAGACCGTTTTTAAAAGTGTTAATTCCTTTTAGTTTAACCAGAAACAGTCACTATATCGCTCTTACTGAAGCCACCAGACTCCATAGATTCAGTAATTTTAGGTGGTAGGTTGAAGAATATTAAAGTTACCCTTTAATTAAAATGGCAGTTCTTTGCCTTTTTCCAAAGAACACTGAGTAATTCTGTCTTGCAGACCAAACTAAATTTTGAACAATCTGTGATGTTGCCTTAAACTCCAAAAGTACATCACATTGACTTTGATTTGGGCAGTCAGGAACTCAGTTATCCTGAATTCATAGATCCATAGTTACATATGTTTGTACTGTTTAGAGTTGTGATATAGAGAACAAGAGAGTGCGTGTGACAGTAGTTGGGTCGCAGTTTTGTGAAAAACATGAGCAGAATTTTTTAATATGAGATGGAGGCATGTTCAAGCTAAACAACATGTTGTTAAATTGCCCTTAAATGCAAAAAAGTCTCTGTAGCTCTGCAGCAACATCACTTGGCTGCTGCAACAAAGACCTTGTTAGTCTGGTTTTCTGCATATTACAGTCTCAAATAGAACATAGTATGTTGTTAAATTGAAATTTAGAATTGTCTTTTTTTTGTTTTGTCATGTGAGAAGTCACCTTTTCACTCATTCATTTTAATGTCATTTCCTGTTTTCTTAGACGAAATGTCTACAATGTTTGTTTTTTTTTGTTTTAAAATGTTCTTTCTAAGATGTAAAATATGTTTTTAGAGCCAACATAAAGAATTGTCTCTCTTAATCATGTGAACTACTCATTAGATGCATAATGGTAATGCCTCGTTCACATCATGTGACCATTATCGAAATGGACAGTTTCTACTTACCGTTCATATCAACATCCGAGTCGTAACTATGACAAGGAAACGCAGATTTTTCTGAAAGTTCTGTTATTTGTTGGCCAGTGATTTCCACTACAAGTGTGTGTGCATACGTGTTTGTCAGAAAAGCAGCTATACTTTATACTGGTGCTTTCCTGCTGATTCAGCGGTGTGGTGTTTTGTTACATGACTGCTTCCTCTGACCCTGAAGGACAACATCTGCCTGTGTATGTGTGTGTGTCAGTGTGTGTGTTTATGGCCGTGTATTGAACAGTCCATGCACTGGTGGGAACTTATGTTCATGTGGGCATGTAAGTGTGTATTGTTTAATGAATAAATGTTAATTTACCGCGGTTACCTGGAGTTCCCGCGATTCCTCCTCTGCAGCAGAGGCGTGATACGACAAGACCTGTAACACACACACACACACACACACACACACACACACACAAAAGATGAGGTATGCAAACTTAGGGGTCATATCAAGCTTTCTGTAGAAAACACACACAACTGCTCTCAGACATGGATCTCCAATTCTGCACGGCACTGCAGTAGTTGCTGTTATTGGTATCAACTGTGCTTCTGCTGGAAAAGATCCACGAATCAGACTAATTCAGGAAGATAAAGAAACAACTGCTGTGTTGCCAGCAAGGCTGTCAAAACAAAATGTAAAGCTCAACATGGACAGGATTATGAAAGCAAAGAAAAGAAAAAGAGGTGCTGCTCATCAATCAAACATGTCAGTCAAATCCAAAATACGAAGAAGGCATCAAGCCCCGGAGTTCAATGTCAACACAGCAAGAGAGCCTTGTGTCTTTAAGATGGTGACAGTTTGGGACTTTCACTTTCACAACAGAAAGTAAAAAGGGTCGTGTTCTTGATAATGGTTTTTCAATGATATCCTTCTTGGCTCATGTTGTTGCTAGTTTCCATAGTGTAGATCCCAGTTGATGGAAACAATGTGAGACTACTAAACAAATTAGTGTAAATGAATAGCATGGAGCCTACTCTCACTTTACATACTGCAAATATGTTAACGTGGAACTAGTCCTGATTTTAACCCTAAGTAAGGATTTAAGAATGTGGCCTGTAGCCCGGGAGCAGAAAATTAAACACTCCCTCCACCTCTCTGGCATACCGTCTTGGATCACGTCAGGTCTCTCTAGTTTGATATTGATCCTGATGTATAAGCGGCCCTCCGTGGCGTGCCGATGCCCTGCACCCACTGCCAAAATTCTGCTCATCCCATAATAGCATACCAAAACAGCTTTATCTGGTAAAAATTTTTTTGGATTGTTGTTTCTTTGAAGGTTCGAAAGGTCGAGGGGGCTAAACTTGGTATTTTTTATTACCTTTGCAAGCACCTCAATCTACAGAATAATCCATTGTACTCATTTGCTTGAAATTTCATAAATAAATCTTTTTTTTATTTTTTATTGTGACATCTCCTTATAAAAATGGTGTCTCTCATAAGGGCTCTATTTCAGTTGAGGGAAATAAAAGCTAACTTAAGGAATTTAGCATTTCAAGGACCCTCTGTCTATCTCAATAAAGCGATGTGATGCAATACATTTGTGTGTGTGTGTGTGTGTGTGTGTGTGTGTGTGTGTGTGTATGGGCATGCACTGACCTCCAGTGTGACCTCTTGCTTGGCCATGGCTCTCTCCACTGTTTCGTACATCTGTGTGTTCTGGATGCCCAGACCGCAGAAGATAGCAAATGCCACCAGGAACTGCTCATCGTTCCTGTTGAAGGCCTTCACGCTTCCTGACGCTTCATCCATCTTGTTCACCAGCTGACATACACCTACGCAGACATATGTTGTATTTTTGACATGGGATGATCAGAACACAGAAATGACAAACAAGTTTACAACAACAACAACATAAGTTTTTTCAAAATGTTATGTCATAACTCAGGAAACCTTGAGCTATGAGCAAAAACAAAAACATGTATGATGTTGTAAATACCACATGAGTGGTTAATTAAAATGGACACTTGTTGCAATGAGGTTTAACACGCTAGAACAACACCCTAGTTAAACATGCTCTCTTCAGCAGATCATTGGTTCTGGCGCTCAAGTGTTAGCCAAGGCTGGATTAGCAACCTAGCAAAGCGAATAGGATTGTTGATATTTGAATTCAACTGCCAAATCAATATACCCTTCCCTTCAGTGCTCCCTCAGAGGCCCCCCCCCCCAAACTCACCCTTGCCTGGTCATATAACTTTCTTCTCTGCTCTTTGTCCTCTTTGCCTGTTTCTCGACTAGATCCCCTTTCTTCACAGTGCCTGGAGTCCAGCATGTTCCAATTTGCCGGTGTATAGAACTCTCTCTCTCTCCCAATGCCCCTCTCTCCCCATAAGTACTGAGCACGAACACCTTTCTTTGTTTTCAGAGCACACACAAAATGGAGCGCTCACTGAAAAAAAAGTGTATGATTACAATCACTTACTATCCCTTTAAAGCAAACTTATGTTGTCGTTTTTTCTATATTTGGGTCTTACAGGGTTAACTGAAAGAACTGGCGTTTTGTGGTGAGACCACACAACGATTCGTCTGTTACTAGCTAGCTACAGCTGACCTTCAGTTGGGATACCGAAGGTTAGTTACATTCTTGAGTATGACTAAAGCCAAAAATATTGCTTCGCTTTCAGTATGAACACACCTTGAGAGGAAGGGGGTTGGCGGATTATCCAGGGCCCCAAGCAGCTCAATTCTGCTGAAGGGGCCAATATGTTCCGGTCATGGTGTTGACACAGACAGCATATTATTTCATTTGAGCAGACTTAATTTCCATTACTTTAAGGTGAGAACTTGAAGAACTTCAACAGTTAAATGATAACCTGCCTTAGCTGATATGTTGGCAGTGTTGTGTAAGTGGCCGTTTAAGTTATCCTTATAAGGACACATAACAAAATCGTGCATCTTTAATGCTAATAATGTATTAATGAAGCTAGTCTGAATGAATCTGATAGAGGAGAAGGACGCAGAACCTTTCACTTGAGCTGTTTTGATCTTGCTCGTCACCAGGACTCTTCAAGGTTGCAGGACGGGCTATGAGTACCCGTTTTGTTTGATCACCAAAAGACATCCATGGCCATTAGTCATCTTCATAGCCAACTAATGGAGCTGCTATCAGCTAATTATGTTGATGATAATCACTGTGATGGATGGAGCTGCAGGACCGTTTATGGTTAGATAATATAAAAGTGGTAATGCTATGCTGGTTTAATGTGTTCTCAGGCTTACAAGACTGTTGAAGCCTCTAGTCCCTGGTGCTGATGTTACATCACTGCCTTGAAAAGTAACTGGAAAACCACACAGACAGTTTAAGTACTGAAGCAATCTGGGATCGGTGTTTACAGCGCTCACCTCTGGGTTTGGCCGATACATGTGTGCTGATGTGTGAGGCTGACATCGTCCTTGTCAGTCATGAAAATACACACGTAATGGGCAACATTTCACCTCTAATTACGCAGACCTCTTGTCTGTCTGTGCCGGTCTTCTACACGTCTTATTTTTTTCAAATCAGTGCATCTTGAAAATCTATATCGATCCATGCTAGTTTTCTCCCACCAGATCTTACTGCAGCTAAGCTGCTGGCATGAACAGATGAAAAAGAGTTGGGTTAAGCCCAGGTTTAGTACTTCAAAGGTTGCTCCACCAGAGAAAGACAAAGAGAGATCATACCTATGACTTTGTCCTTCTTGCCATTCTTGATGGGAGTGCAAAGCAAACTCTTTATCTGGCTGCGGGTGTGATCTGGGTTTTCACTCTGTCAGAGAGCAAGAGGTATAATTACTCACTTTGGGAAAAGAAAAGAAAAGAAAAACAAGAAAAAGATAAGACCACATATACTGACTGTCCAGGGGAAGCGCTGATCCTTGGTGACGTCTGCGATGTTGAGAGGCTGCATGGTGTTTTTAACATACTGGGCGTACATGTAGTTAATCTGGCTGACATCATAGTCCCTGAGGAGACACACAACAACACAAACAACTTCAAGACTAACCATGGGAATAATGAGATCTCCAAACATACTTTTGGTTGTTTGCTTGAGGGGAATGGACAGCTAGCTCATGCTCCTGTGGAGTTACAATTCACTTACTGTAAGTCGCTTTGAGCTGAACGTAATGTAATTTCTGGCCATGTACTGGTAAAACTCAAAAAAAAAAAGCAAATCCAAATGTTTTGTAAAGATGCCTGGATGTGTTTAAAATGATGTGCAAGGAATATTACCAAATGAAATATTGGAGCATAGTATGGAGACTGAATACATATCCTTACTGTCAAATTGAAATAATAATACACAACCATGAGATGTTCAAAGAAACTTGAAATCTGCATTCATTTCATTTTTGGCCACTTGTCTTTTCCTGGTCATCTGACTTCCTGCCGCAGTCACATGCAGCTAAGGTTCACTCTGAAGGTCTGACTATACTGTGAATGGCAGTTTGCAAACCAAACCCTTGACACTGTAGTCATTTTATCTACTGGTTATAGAGAACATTTTCTCTTACTGATGTTGTGTTTCTGACAGCGCTCTTTTTTTGCTCTTGGTTGCTGGTTAATGAGAGAACTGCATCTGAGAGGCTGCACCTGAGTCCACCCCGCATCCTGGCTCAGGACTGAAAGCTGAACGCCGTCAGTCACGTCTGTCAGCGCTTAATAAGCCTGTTTGTTATCTTTAGCCGCTCCAAGTCCAACCACAGAGTCAGCTATAATACTGCATGATAAATGATGGAAAATGGATATATAAACACAACATGAGGTTAAGGCAAAAGCCAGTGGGTTTTGGCTGTAGTGCTGCGGCAGGATGGTATGTGTGTGTGTGTGTGTGTGTGTGTGTGTTAGTGGACGACGGAGCGAACACATAGAAAACGCGTGTTTTTGCAGGGGTGTGTTAGGGAGAATAAAAGGGACAGAAAGAAAAGCATTTTCATTTCATGCTTTTTCACATTTCAGAGGGAATTTGTTTTTCCTACTACAATGACATACAGTGACAAACTACAACAATAAGTGATAATATCCGACATTAAAATATACTACAATATGACTAAGGTATTTCTATTTTTATGTAAGTAAAAAAATCTGAATTCTACTTCCTTCACTGCAGATGTTTGTGTGTGTGTGTGTGTGTGTGTGTGTGCACTTACCAACCTATCTAACAGTGGACCTCGACGTCGTTACACACCCACTAAGAGGGGACTAAAAAGTGAACAGGGGACATTTTTTAGGTCCCCTGTTGGACATGCTTTAAATCATGCTAAAATCATGTCTAAAACCATCTGGTAAATTTTTTAAACTATTGTCAAGAGGGGACCTGCAGGTGTGTGAGTGTTTAAGTCCATACTCAGCAGTGCCTCTAGTGGATCAAGCAAAGATTTTAACGACTCATTCACACACGTCGTTCTTAACACTCCCCTATAGAGTGAATGGCTTGCAGCCCCAGGGAGTCTATCAGACTGTAGAGGGGCTATTATACAAGCTACTCAGTAAAGAAAGCTGTCTCTTGAAACACAATTTCTTTATTTTTTAGTGAGTTTTAGTCGATGTCTTGTGTTTTAAGATCAACATGTATTAAAATACAGGGCTACACTGAAGGCCTGGAGAGTAAAACGAATTTTAGATTCTAAAAACCGGAACAAAAATAGAAAAACAACCAGGGTAGAATTAGAAATAAAATGGTCAGTATAAAGATGCTTTCTTTATGGTTTTAATTAATTATAAAAAATTTTTATTAATTAATAAAAAAATATTTGACATTTGACATCTAGAGCTTTAAACTTGTTCTGTCCCAAAATACTAACCTGGCCAGCTTTCACAAGCACTGGACATCAATACATTTTTTTTTCATTATATTTGTGTGCTTAGTCTACACTTAAAGATATGCATTTGAATTACAGAAAAAGGGACCACACTTGTACTGTGTGGAACGACAGGAGTCCACTGTTCTCTTGTACATGATGACACAAGTTCCCTCTTAGATAGCATGGAGCGATAATCACACTCCAACTTGTGTGAAAATAATAAATAAGCAAATTTAATCATACTTTTGAGACAAAATAAACTAACTAAATGGTCTCTTTATTTTCTATACATTCTTTTAAAACAAAATATAAAGGCTGAGGTTTAGTGGATGTCTTGTGTTTTAAGATCAACATGTATTAAAATAAAGGGCTACACTGAAGGCCTGGAGAGTAAAATGGATTTTAGATTCCAAAAAAAGGAACAAAAATAGAAAAACAACCAGAGTTGAATTATGAATTAAATGATTAGAGGTAAGATACTTTCTATTCAGTTTTAATTAATTGTTAAAAAGTATTTCACATCAGACTTTGACTACAGCTTTAAACTTGTTCAGTCCTAAAACACCAAACTGACCAGTTTTCACAACCACTGAATGTCAATACATTTTGTCATCATATCTATGTGCTTAGTCTACACTTACAGAAATGCATTTTATTTATTGATTTGAATTACAGAAAAAGGGACCACACTTGTACTGTGTGGAACGACAGGAGTCCACTGTTCTCTTGTACATGATGACACAAGTTCCCTCTTAGATAGCATGGAGCGATAATCACACTCCAACTTGTGAGAAAAAAAAATAAGCAAATTTAATCATACTTATGAGAAAAACTAATTACAGAGTGTCTTTATTTGGTATAATCTGTTATTGTAAGAAAATATAAAGCCTGAGTTTTTATTGAAGTTATTTTCAACAAAATACAAAGGCTGAGTTTTAGTGAAATTCCTAAATTGTTTCAAGCTTCAGACTACTAAAATGATAGACTACCCAGTAGACAGCAGAATGAGTATTTTAAAAGCACAAAGGTCAGCTGCAAGATCTCTTAATTTTTAATCAATGGATTTAATGCTGTTAATTATCATGATACATGACCAGTGTTTGTATGTGTCCTAAATCTATATTTAGGAAGTTGTTGCTCGCAAACACATTGACAACAGACCTGTCTGTCAATTGAATAGTTAGTTTCCTAAACACCGCTGCACAAATCTATCCAACACAATTTGTCAATGTCGGAGACCCACCTTCAAAAAAGTTATCAGCAAGCATGTAAGGAGCCTAGCTAATAAGGATAGCTATGTTAGTTTTAGAATACAGCTGTCAAAGTTAGAACACTGTGCATAACTGGTAGTCAGTAGGTGTGGCCGAGATGAGCTACTTTTGTACAGTTGAAATCACATCATGTCGAAACTAAAGTGTGAAATGTTGAAAAGGTTAGTTTAGCTACAAATGAACAAGTTCATATGTGCGTGTTTAGGTTTTATGATGTGGTAATTAAGGGGCTAAATGAAGCCTGTCTCTGAAAAATTGAAAATCTTTCTAAAATGCTTCGGCAGTACATTTGTTCTTAGCCTTAGAGAAAGGTCCACAGAGACATTCAGACACACTTTACAAATAATATGAAATAAGCAAAATGGACAATTCGAAAATTATAATCTAAACCAAATATATAAGCTGTAGTGTTGTTGTTTTTGTTTTTTAGAAAAGTGTCACCAGCAATGTTCTCATTGTAGCTTTTTGAAATGTGGGGTTAAACATTTGTTGGCGAATAGAGAAGCATATTTGAGGGCTGTCAAATGGTGCAGCATCGTAACAATGGAACTTACAGTTTGCATCAACTGGAGAACACACAACCAGTGCTGCATTAAGTTCACACTGATATTTGGCAGGTATTTGTCTTTATAGATTTTTACATCTCAGTATTTTCAACTTCTTTCTTTAGCATGTACAGTTTAAATGTGTGTTAGTGATTTTAATAGCCATTGAAATAGTGATGAGTTACCTATAGATCATCTCAGAACCATCACAACATTGTATGGCTATTCATAACACAAGTTGTTCAACCACAAATAGAAAACAGTACAAAATATACAGAACTATGTTGAAGCAAACTTTATTGAATGTGCTTTTAAGCTAAGACACACACAAACTCCTAAACTGAAAGTTCCTCATGTGCCCACCCTCTTCTGTGTTCTTCCACTGAACAAAATTATAAACGCAACACTTTTGTTTTTGCCCCAATTCCTCCGGTGAGTATGCTGGCCATGCAAGAAATGGGATGTTTTCAGCTTCCAGGAATTGTAATCCTTGCAACATAGGGCCGTGCATTATCATGCTGCAACATGAGGTGATGGTTGTGGATGAATGGCACAACAATGGGCCTCTGGATCTCGTCATGGTATCTCTATGCATTCAAAATGCCATCAATAAAATGCACCTGTGTTTGTTGTCCGTGAAACACGCCTGCCCATACCATAACCTCACCGCCACCATGGGCCACTCGATCCACTCGATCCACAACTAGGACATCAACAAACCACTCACCCACACGAAGCCATACACACGTCATCTGCTCTGCACAGTGAAAACTGGGATTCATCCATGAAGAGAACACCTCTCCAAAGTGCCAGACGCCATCGTATGTGAGCATTTGCCCACTCAAGTCGGTTATGATGGCAAACTGCAGTCAGGTCGAGACCCCAAAGAGGATGACGAGCATGCAGATGAGATTCCCTGAGATGGTTCCTGACAGTTTGTGCAGAAATTATTTGAGGATGCTAAACGATTCTTGCAGCAGCTGTCCGGCTGGCTGGTCTCAGACAATCTTGGTGGTGAAGATGCTGGATGTGGAGGTCCTGGGCTGTTGAGGGAATAGAGAATCGGTTTGTTATCAAACCCAGACATTTGTTTTATAGTACTTTAATGCCACTGTGTAATCGTTGAGGACTTCTTTAGTACCATAACAAGGAGCACTCTCAGAACCGGGCCCCTTCTTTGGAGTCAGTGATGTGTCTTCAAATATATTCCTGCAAGAATTCTCCTGGCTCAGTGTTTTTGGTGGTGATTTTTATACTGATTAAATGAATTATCTGTCAGTCTGTCTGTCATCAAATTCCATGAACGACCAACACTATCTCAGCAGTTCTAACACTCGATGAGGAT